CATTGTTGCTTTCAAAAAAAATAATGCAGCTGCATGTTGCAAATTACATATTTTTTCTTAAAAGCAACAATGTGTTTTCTTTATATTAATTGATTCGTTTCATTATTTTATGCATAAAAGTATTAAGGTAAGATTCCCGAAAATTGAATGTTTTACAAGATATTTTGTATTTTATGTCAAAATGCTGTAACTTTCAAGCCTCATAACTCGAAAAGTATTTAATGAAAAATAACTTTATTATAGTGTTTCGGAAACGTCTTGACACCAGCTTTAAGAATATGTAATAGAAAATAGGAGTTTCCATTTAAGATTTCAAAGTTGACCTTCGCGATGTCCTTCAAGGTCACATGAAGGTCATTTCAATATAACCATATAATAGACCACTTGATATACTAAAACTTTTGTATTGAACATTTTCTTCCATAATCATTATTTTCCAAGATATTTGACCGTTACGGAACTTTCTCCCATCACTGTATAAGATTACCGCTTTTTGATTACTTAACCTTTCTCGGATTGACGACTGTTACGAGCGTATAGCTACGTAATAGATTATTTAGAATAAGTCGGGACACGTTTGTGGAAAAAGTCTTTATTCGGTGTTGCTGGTTTGAGCTTTGATCGAGAACTGAACTGGCGAGAATGATCTTCGTTTAAGGTGCTGTAGGAAAATCGTAGCGGCGGAATGTTTATTGGAAGGAGGCGGTTTTGTCAAAGAGAAAATACGCGTTAGGCATAGGGACAGCGTTTAGGTTAACCCATGTTTGTTGCAGTTATCGAAGAATCATGTGTTTAGGATCAAGAAGGAGTAAAGATAAAAAAAGGTTCGAAGGTTCGAATAAACAGAATAATCTAAGAAACTATAAGTTGCGGCACGTAACACGAATCGAATTCTAGTGTCATAATTAGGGCGGTATTCATAGTCCGTTCTTATATTTAAAATCGTCTTAAGCACGGACTTATATTCGCTCTCTTCGTCACACATAGATTGTGTCTGACGAAGAGAGCGAATATAAGTTCGTTCTTAAGACGATCTTGAATATAAGAACGGACTATGAATACCGCCCATAGATCGGTGAACATTGAGATTAACGCAGGCAGTGAAGTGTGAGTTTTGTGCTGTAATTCTCCCTTAAAAAATGGAAAAAGGCGCATAAGCGATAACATATAAGGCGTCAGGAACTATTAAATTGACAGATAATTATTAAAATCTAAAATTATTATATCATATGCAGGCATTGAAATATATACCATACTGGAACGAGCACGCCTTTATTCTCGACCAGTCAGATGGAGATAGCTGTTCGGACCCGGATCTCTCTATCTAACCAACAGTTTCGGTTACGTGTTCACAATTACTATTAGTCGAGAATAGACGAGATAGAAAGAGAAATTCGGTACCGAGTCACTGCCTTGTCTGACCGTTTTGTCGAATGGAGGGGGTAGCCTGTGCTCGTTCCAGTATGGTATATAGTTCAATGTATGCAGGTCATCTTTCTATATATATCATAAATAAGGTTATGTTTGAGAGATGTTGGCTAGTAGAACACCACTACTACAATTTTTATTTATATATTTTATATTAATTTTTGTGCTATATATATATTTATAGCACAATTATATATATATATATATAATTTCTACAAATAAGTTAGGTTTACGTATGTAATACTATGTATATGTATAGTATAGTGAAAATAGGATTCAACATTATTGTTTTAAATTATATTGCAGGAGGAGTTTGCTTACTTACAGTAAAAAAAAGACTATAGGTACTAATATTTAAGTCATCATTAATTATTGCGTAAACAAGGTAACATAATATTCTTAACTTATGGCATAAACAAGGTAACATAATACATGCATCTTTAAGAATAACTAGTTCTTTGAAAAATAACAAGAATTATGTATATGTAGGAAATATAAATGTTTGTTTTGTTAATAAATTTAGTGAATGTATAACTTATGAACAATTGCCCAGTCAGCAAAATGTTAGTAGCCTGCCGGCAGTTTGCGAGCAGATTTGCTCAGAACTTGGCAGCAGATATAGTGCCATCTGTGTCAGAGCTGCCAGTTTTCCCCGGAGAGCTCCACACGCACACAACCGAGACCCGCTGACGTCACGTGTCCGTGTGCGCTCGGCTGTCGACTGGTAGAAGTGAGCGGACCTATGTCTTGTATCTCCTTCCCACCAAGCCTAGCATCAAACCGGTTTTGACGCTCGCACCATTTCTTCTGCCAAGCGTTGGCAGCAAAAATGCTTTCCCGAATTTCGCTCCACGCGACTAAGTCGACTAGCGGCGTGTTGCTTTCGCTCGACGCGATATTTTTTCTGAGATTTACAGTCTTTTATGAAATATATATCATATTCATATTAATAAAATATTTTAACATTATGTATTTGCAGAATAATATTTTTCACGTTAATGTATAAAATAAGAATAAAGTAATAAAAATTATATATCGCAATATATAAACAAAACAAGTAACATTTCTACAATT